AAGGCACTTTGGCTTAATCTGCTACCAAAAACCTTCAGTGGCAAGATCTTTGTTTTTCCAAATCACTACAAGTTTTATTAAAGCTGCTTTTAACAGTTGCTTCTATGCATCAGTTTAGTTTGCATCACTTCAAACTCTTTTCACAAACAATACCCACCTCTAACAGCTCCCTCTTGGTTTTATAGCACCTTTTTTTTTTCTTTAGCACATTTAAGGCCTTCACAGCATAGATAAAGAACAGCTTTCAGTCAGAGCAGCTGTTAAATAGCTGCTCTCTTCCAGCACTGTCCAGGTGGTGTATGTTCACGGGAGAGCCTTATTTAGCAAAGGCAGGCTCAGGCTGCCAGTCCTGCTGCAGGGCTTTCCTGCAGGGACAGTTCTGCCACCGGCAAGAGCTGCTGTTCAGGCGTGGTAACGCCGCAGCCTGCCTGGTGCTGCCTGGAGAGAGCTCCATCCGCAGCTCTGCGAAGGGCAGGTGACCAGAGGAGGTTTCCAGACCTGCTCAAGCCTTTCCCTTTTGATCCTGGCCACCTACAGGAGCTTTTTTCTTTTTTATTTCTCACTCCTAAACAGCAAATGTCAGCCCCGCCAGCTCCGTGCCTCACAGGAACTGAGTGAGAGCAGCCCCAGGAGACAGATTGGCAGCAGGCGGAAGGGAACATGCACTCCATGAGTGGTTTTGCTTTCCTCTTCATCAGACCAGTCCCCTCAGAGGGCAGGGGAGGCAGCTGAAGCCCTTGGGGCTGAATGGAGAGGAGGGCTTGGGGCAGGGTTAACCTCCCCCCTTCAGGGGAAGGCAGGCAGAAGGAAGGGGAAGCCCATCTTCAGCACAGGTGCTCTCCTGGTCCCTTTCAGTGAACACAAGGCAAGAGCAATGTCTTCTCTACCCAGCCCCCTGCACACGTGGGGAACAAGGACCCCAGCTGGGGAAGAGACAGCTCCAAGAGCCAAGCATAAAACAGACAGTGTGAAAGTGATAAGAAATCAGTCAGCAGAGGTGAAAGGCATGCCCTGACTCATGATGGCACTGGCATAACTTCACTAGACCCCAAGGCAGCGGCCAGGCCTCTGCCGCCCCGGGCTGCGCCAAGGGCAGTGCCATGCTCCTCTAGACAGCAGCTGGTCAGGTCTGGGACCAGAACTGACCCCAGAACCAATCCAAGTAATTAAATTTTTCAGTCTTTCAAGATTAATAAAAACTAAACCTGGCACCCACCAGACTACTGAGAACAGCTGTGGCCCATCACAGCTGCTGAACAGCAGCATTTGTTACCCACTCCATTCATTTGATTTGCAAACCTGTAGCAGAAGACAGTAGTTTCAGACACACAGTCACTAGCCAGAGCTCTTCAGCTGGTATTTTGTTAGTCACTGAGGAACTGCACTAAGAGAGGTTCGCTTCAGGTATCCTAACGTTTTCTTAATTGTTCCAGGTACTATCACTTCACTATCCCACCACAAGTGGTGAAAAGCCATGGCACATTTCTAGGGTCAAAGGAGAGGCCTGTCTCCTGTCAAGGAAAAACTTCAGGCAAAGCTGATGTCATAACTCAAAAAAGGCAGTTTGCAAAGCAAATATCCACGTGTGTCTCGCCTGAATGTGTCAATGCCACAGGAGCTCACAGGCAAAGGAAAAAGTTTCTAATTTTAAGGAAGACTCACCAGAAGAAAACTTAAGTCTATAAATAATTGCATTCCAACAGCATGGGCAGAACAACAGACAAGGCACACCGACACCTGGATGGTGTCCAGCAGCTTCCAGTTTCAGCCATAAAAAGCAAGGAGGGCCGAGCGCTGCTTGCTGTCGTGCCAGTGGGTGGCAAGTACAGGCACATCCACAGCAGGCAGAGTAACCCTAAGGCTTCAGGGCTGTGCGCTCCTGTGGAAAACTGAGAGATTCGAGGGTTCCATCTCCACCCCAAACGTAATGGCAACAAGCAAATGGGACAAGTTGTTTCTTGCGGTCTTAAAAATCCAGAGAGGACAGATCAGAAAGAAAAAGCAGCTGAAGAGCTGGTAAGATTAAAAAATAATCTGCAATAAAACCAGGTTGAACAGCAGCATATTGGTAAGAAAGTTCAAAATCCAACTTCAACAATGGGTCTTTTCATACATATGTGCGTGCAAAAGTGTGTACAAGACCAGCATGACTCACGTCACTCACTGGGAGGTGAGGCACCCGCACACCAGCTCCCCAGAAATATTCCAGCTGGCTCCAAGAAAAGCAGCTAGACTGCTTCATTTACTTCAAACTTGATACTGCAAGAAAGAACATTCAGCCAAAGCATTGCCTTTAAGGATACTTAACTAGTTCAAGCACAAAATGCCAAATCACAGGTTTATTGCTGCTCTTTAGAACTAAAGCCAGCTGAAGCAACTAGAAACAAGCCAGCCTATTTACTGTCTGAGGCCACAGCAGGTGGAGATGGAGGGAAGTTCTCACTGAACACAGCGCAGACCTGTTGCTGAGCAGAATCTAAGCTAGCAGCATAAGCCAAGTGAACCAGAACACGTCCCCGCACAAGGAGAACGCCGCAGCGCTTGCACTTCCTCACAGCTGCCTCCCTGCCTCACCCACCATTATGGATCTCGGCACAGGCAAAGCAAGCTGTGAACAGTCACCTCAACATCTGACGTACACCAGGACCTCCCCTGGAGCAGGCCGCCTTTGGGAAGGCACATACACAGACTGGGCCAGGCGATAACCACACATCAACTTAATTTATAGTTTTGTTTTAGTTGTTCTGGATGCCTGCTTTAGTCTCAATTTTGAGAGGAAGGAAGCAGATTTACCTAGTCACAATAAACAAACCTTTTACAATCCCACTTTATTCTAACTTAAGAGACTCCTACTCCCTGCAAGTCACTGCAGTCTCAGCTCCAGTCTTATCCCTTGTTAGATGAGAGATGCGCTTCTCCGCTCTTGACCCCTCTGCCTGTTTTAAGTTTGATGATGTTTCAATCTTCCTCTACGTAAATTTTGGAGCAACATGTGTGCCATTTAAGACTGACACTGCAAAACTCATTTGATACCGACCACAGTACTGGTATTGGCCAGGAAGCAGTAGTCAAGCTAAGCCACATTTCGGTTAACCAAAAAAAGCTATAAACAGATCCGTCACTAAATTCAATACCCTAAGCCTTCAGGTACTTTAAAAACAGTATGAACAGTACATGATACGCAATTTTCTTTTGCATTTCAACACACTGCATCAAATTAATTACATTTTAAAGAGTCAACTGAAGAAGCCAGGCAAGGAACAATATCTGAAATAGAAGAGTTTTATGTAGACCATTCAGTGTTAAAAACCAGAGAATCAAACATCAGTTCAAAGTAAAGAGCAGTTTCAAACAGAAGACATTTGATTAAAAGTTTCTTTTAACATTTAGAAATTTAAATACATTTACCTAAAGATGGTTAACCCCCATCTCTATGTTACTATACAATAGCTTAAAGCTACTTTTAAATGCTAGTTCTATGTTAATGTGAAATTCCAGAACTGCATTCTTACTTTTATGTAAATTGATTATTAAATTGGGTGACTCCGTACTTCCTCCCACCCCAAAATAAGTTTTAAAAATTGGAGCTTTACAATGTCTTGAATAATATTTTTCAAATGAGTAATTTGGAACAGTTTCCGACAGTTCTATAGGAGGTATTTTGTACAGTTTGGAGAGCAACTCCATATAAAGTTCTATTGCAACTGAGCATTCACAGTATGCCACAGTCCATACATATTACTACATATACATATCAGGTTTGTAAACATTGGAAGAATACACAGAATATAGTACCATGATCCTCTGGTACTGCTGAAAGGAAGATGAGGTAACATTCATATAATCTCAAAGTCCACAGAGGTCCTGACTGAGTAGTTAAAACAGCTGCCAACGCTTCTGTTTCATAGTGTGTGGTTAAGGCTTTCTACTTCACGGTCTGCTAAGGCTGGATTCATTAGCTCTCAGTATCCCAACTGCATCTTTAACAGCGTGGTATATGACATTCTTCACCTACGAGGAAAAGAAAAGGCGTTTAGTTTTACAAGTGAACAGCACGGTTAGGGTCAGGTCGGAAGCCTCTGACATACAGAAAACACTTGCACAACTTCCCCGCTTCCCCACACCCCGTGCGGCTCTCCTTTCAGTTTAAACGGGCTCATCTGCACGAGCTTCGCTTAGATCACTAACTCATGAAAATAAGGTTCAAATTGTAACAGGATATAAACTGAAACCCTGTAGCCTGAGGAGAGTATTACAAGCTCAGCTAGAGGGAAAACAAAAGAAATGGAAGAAAGAAACATTTCAAAAGAATCTCAGGAGAGGCTTCAGAAGCCTTGCTCAAAACGACTGAAAAACCGTAACAATGCAAAAACCTATGGAAATTCCTCTTCAAGATCCAATGCGTTAAAGCTGACCTGAACATCAAGGCAACTTGGGTTGTGTGGGCACATCCCTTACGGGTTTGGTGAGGGGTGTTTGGTTTTTGGTGGGTTTTTTTGAAAGGGTTAAGAGGGGCAGGGTTCATCTTGAGCATTGGTTAAGTTACCTGCAATTTATCTTCATGGTTCGTATGCGTATGTGACAGATATCTAAATTCCTGAGTGAGCCAGAAGCAATGTTTGACATGCTCTGGGGATACAAAGTCTTCTGCAACTTTAATACAACTGTACAAATTATGAACCTAGAAAGAACAAACAAGCGTTAGCCATGTGCTCAGAAGTCTGCCCAAGTGGTCAGGCTGTAACAGTGTCCCTGGCCCTTGCCTGGTGTGGAGCTCCTGCTGGAATGAAAACTACATCTCCTAGAAACTGTACAATAGCCCAGCCTTGAACTCCATACTCTTGATGAAGGCGTTTTCTTAGCGATCGGTCCAAGTACCAGCTCTGATCATGAATGGGATCGTGATCTACAGGGTTTTCTTGACCTTGTTCTTCCGCAACCTGGAAAGTCACAAGACGACAGGTATTATACCAGTCTCACTGGACAATCAAGATGTATCTGTGGTATTCCATAGGCACACATGCCAGACAGAGTAACTTGCACCATGTGTTCAGGTATGAGAGTTACACAATGAAAGGTTTGGATTCTTATTCAGTCCTTAGTTTGCCAAGGCTTCATCATTTCTCAGTCCCTCTTGCTTCACCGACGCATCGCAAACGTGGGTATAGGAAATGCAAGTAAACCCAATTTACAGTAAGAAGAAACAGAAGGGTTAAGTGACTCACGTGTGTTCACAGTGGGAACCACTCTCATATACGGGATCAATACTCTTACACTGCTACAGCCTGTAACTGGAGGAAACTACTGAGTGTAGAATTCAGCGGGTGTCTGCCCTGAGGCCAGCACTAGTCAGCATGCTCACTGACCAAAACAGAGGATGTTAACTGGATTTTCAAGAGACAGGAGGCAGGGAGGCACAACAAGCACTTTAGAAGAGAAATGTGAGGGCTATGGGTAGAGAATTTCTGCAAAAAGTTCCAGTATAAATCCAATTGGCTGTGGCAATCATTTACATCCAGGACTGTAGCTCAAAAACTCATCTGAGAGGAGATAAACAGCTTGGTTCTACTCCAACACAAGCTGCTGAAAGCCTCACACCTGCAGGCAAGTATGCTACAAGGGACCAAGAAGAGGTGTGATACACAGATGTCAACATGCCAATGCTTATCAAATTCAGTATGTTTTATCAAGTATAAGATTTGTTCTTTGTTAATACTACACAAATCTGCTGTTGCTTCTTTAAGCTTCCGCCCAAGACAGTAGTCAGGCTGCCAAGGCCAACAGTTGTTCAGATCATCCCATTTATCCTTTTAAAGATGAACATATTAGCTCTTTCCACTTTTAGCGCACCAAAGAAGTTCCAGAATTAAAACCACCAAGAACTCTGGACCATTTGTGGTGAATTTAAATACTGAAACAAGTCCTTTTGGATGTAGTATCACATCTCTACTAAACCTTCAACTACCACGAAAACATCACCCAAAATACCTCATGCTTTTCCCTTAATTCAAACCTCATAAAGGTTGGGAAAAAAAAAAGGTAGGAAAAGGGAGAGAACAAGGAAGAACTTTATGCACCACATTTTGAAATGCTCTAACATTTTCCAAGAACATCTCACGAGCGTGCTTTTAAGAAGGATCTAGTTTAAGATTAAACTGTGGTTTTGCTTAAATCTAAACAGGCTGGTTTTTTCTTCATTACTTGAGCTCTAAGAAGCACGGGCAAAAGCGGTGTATCTATATACAGGACAACCTCAAGCCTCAACTCGCTACCCTCCTCAGATCCTACAAGATTCACAGCACACATGAAGTTTTGTCTTGGGTACAACGCAAGTACATTTGTTTCCAGAGCAACTGGGATAGAAAGGAGGAGAAAACTCCAAGAATACATATTTGCAAGCCTACAGAGACAGAAGATGAGTTTTTAAGATATAACTGCTTACCTTTTTAAGGAATTCCCGGATCTTCTCTGTATCTTTAGCAGCATAAATGTGCCACAGAGCTCCAGGTTTTTCTCGACTTTCAGTAAAACGCTTAATTGTCAATTCATCAGAATCACCATCTTGTATGGTTTTTAGCACTTCTGTTGAGAGTAAACATGAGCAGTTACCTTCCCTCCAACCACAGAAATACCCCCCCCAGAACAAGAAAGATTTTACCTTCTTCTTGATCAGCCTGGCCTTTGGGGATACCCACATAAACCATAACATTAGCTGCATCGGACACATCTAAGTGGAGGTTTGTTGTGCCGTATTTTCTATCCTCTGGTGTTATTAAGCCTGAAAAAAAGAAAAAAGCAGGTACATTAGTAAGACAAAAAGAAACCTTATGCCACTCTCAGCAGCACTATCTGAAAAGACCAGAGAGCTTTAACTTTTATCAGCAAATGATTCCAGTACAGCAATATACTTTATATCTAGGACCTTGCCCCATCTTGTGTGTGTCTTCCCTGTAAACTGATTTACAGTTTACAGGCTGACACATGAGGCTGACACATGGATCCATATCTATACCTAGCCTGTATGATATATAAAAGTCACATTTAACTCCTGCTAGAAGAGGGTTTCCATAGCAGTGTAGAATAAAGCATTCTCAAAAACAGAAGTCTCTTTTTCACTCTAAAAGGCAGCTGCTACAGTATTTATTAGCCATGATCTCTTTACTGGCCATGATCATGCTTAGTTTTTAAATGCCTTTTGAGTAACAGCAGATGAACTAGCCATGGAAAGAACTGCTCAAGAAGAGATTAAAAACTAAACGATACAGCCCAAAAAGGAGAAGTAACAAAATTGAGACAGCCAGAAATAGCAAACCAACAAATACATGTAGCCAGCTGTAGGAAAGAGAGGCTGTGTATACACATGCGGAGCAAGTTGATTGGAAGACTGGGAATAAATATTACTGGCTTGAAACCACCTCTTCAAAAACATTTAATAAAATCATATAATGCTGTGGACATCACTAATACCTATAAGTGAGCCAAAATTACATTTTCAGATCAATGTGATTAATCAACTTGTCTACAACAGCAAGGATTCATTTAATTTACAGTAAATTTTGATTTGAATGTGTGGTCAACGTGACCTTTAGAGCGAAGAATTCCTTACCATACGCATTGTACATCTTAGGGCCCAAATCTGGTCGTACAAAATAGTTGGGAAGTCGAGAGGCAAGGTTGAGCTTGCCGCCTCTCCTAGTGTATTCTGGCAATGGAATATTTTTCATCAAATCATCAAACCTAAAGTAATACAGCACAATTTAATGTTAGGAACTGATTTAAAAAGCAGACTAAAATAGACTGCAACAAAAGCTTTCTCCAGTTAAGAAACTGTACTCCTTCCCACAGGGGGTTTACTGGAGACCATAAAAAGGAACAAAATAAGCAAGACACACAAATATAGCAGATAAACAAATTTAACTGCTCTGGAATAATGCTATTTCCTTGTATAATCACCTCAACTAATATCAAATAGAGTAAGTCAGAATATTTAAAAACGTTTGGCAAAAAAAAAGCTTCAACTGAACTTAGATTTCAAAATGACTAAGGCTTTTAGGAAGCTTCCAGAGATTAACCAATCATTAGCAATTTCAGGTACTCACTTTACTTGGCAATAAATACAATGAACTACATAAAAATTTATTATAAAACTTGTTTAGCATTTTCAGCTACGTCAGGCATCTCTGAGAAACAAAATGGTTCACATGTGACCAACTGCTTCTCAAAGCTGAAGCAGGTGTCAAAATGTAACAGTGTTCCTTTATTCCATTATTTTGGGAGTGTACCATGCAAACGATGAACAGTTTCTTTGTAAATTCATACCGAGAAGGCATCATATCTCTGAAATCTTCTCCTGGAGGCCAGTCTTTAAGCTTCAACACCATTGGCTCTCCTTCTTCTGTTCTCAGGCGACCTATTGTCAAATATTAACAAGTCTTAGATTTTAATAGTTGTACAACTCAGAATCCAGAGAATCAAGACAAAGAAATCCTTATCTTAGTTTAAAATCATGTTCATTCCACAACTATTTATGTAGAACCAAAGACATACAAGTTCACCTGACACCACAGTCGGGTATCACTGCCGTGAGAAACATGTTACGACAGGAGATTTCAGACTAGACAAGTAGCCTTTACCAGCTCCCCTGCCCAAGCACTTCCTACAATTTAGCTCAGGCAACTGTTTTGTGTTTGAGGCTAGGGCAGCTGATGATAAAGCCAAATCTTTTCAAAGATCAAGTAACAGAAAAGAAAGGTGTAAGTAAGCCTTCCAGCTCGCACTCGTCTTGCCCCAAGTACCAAATTCCATAAGTTTACATCACACAAACAGATGAAGTAGAACTCCAGATGCCATGGCAAGTATTGATTCTCCTGGAAAAAGTTTGTTTTCACCTAGAAGTGAAAACAATGCCAAACCTCATATGCTCACCTCCCCTAAACCCATTTTTATACAAAATAACTTTAGTTCCTTAAGAACAAAAGGCACCTGCAAGTTAAAACAGCAGAACCCAATTACCTTGTGAGCACCAACCCTACACATGCTCTTTGATGTTTCACTCAACTGCAGGGAAGAAACCTGACAGGTGAACCTACTTGCTAGGAAGATCCCAAACTTTCTCAGAATGCTTCCCCAAAAGACTAAAGGCAGCCAAACATACTCCTGAAGGAGAGTCCTCCACGGGACTGACAGTTTCTATCCAGTCCACCATCCCGCAAGCATACATGGTGAGAATACAGTGCAGACGCACTGTCCAGAATGAAGAAAAGGCCTGGAACATCTTTTACGCTGCTTAAGGATGACAAATTTGTGTTAGGGCAAAATTATTGCTGCTGAATATTTTACCTATTGAAACAAAAACTCACATTACTTACTTGAAATATCTTCAAATCCATCCCAGAAATCCCCTACAGTAGCTCCAGTGATGATTTCATTGGTCCTGCAGTTAACCAGATCTACTTCCTGTTGGCCAAATTCCTTCCTAAAGGACTCCGGTCTCCAGAGGTCTGCATTTAATTTGTGATGCACTCCTGACACCATTACAGGCTATGAAGAAGAATAACATATTCTGAAGAATTATTAAGCACTAAAAATTCTAATTCCAAACAGAATAGGGTAATGCATAAAATGTACTGAACATTTGAACACAGGCACTTTGGGAACACTGTATTTTCCAAAATACATGCTCAGCCTGCCTTACCAGAATTATGCCGTGCATTTGATCATTCTTTAATTCAAGCTATGAGGCAGCTTTGTATACAGAGGCATACATTCAGCAGTGTGTTTAGAAACTGATTTCAAATAGTAAAATATACATCCTTTTATCCAAGGATCTAACAGTGTTCATGTAGTATATTTTATGAAGGTTTAGCGTTGCTTATCATTGCAGTAGTTTGTATCTGCACTTCAATTAAGGGGCAAAGCACGTGAACTGAAAATGGAAAAAAGCAGAAAAACTTAAATACCTGTCCCTGCTTCCAGCACTCCCTGAAGACATTCCAATTACTTTCATTATTGGGATCTTGAAGACATAGCAAGCGGTTATCACATAACCAGTAGTGAGGCGTATCAAAGCCCATTATCGTAGGCTTTATAGTCAATCCTTGAGGTTTCTTAGGCAAGGATTCTGTAATGGTTCTATTTTGAACCAGGGAAGCAAAAATGTCATCAAGGATTTTGGGTGTACTCTTGAGTCCACTGTCTGTCTGAATTTTAAAAAAAAAAAAAAAAAAAAAAAAAAAAGAGAGAGAGAAAGAAGAACAAAAAAAGAAGTTGGTGCACTTCTCAGTTGCCTCGTCCTGCAGACTTCAAAGAAGATATTTGCCAATTTCAAAATTTTTCACTTGAGCTCACAATCGTGCAGAGAAACAAAAATCTGCAGAACTTTGCTGTCTAGAAACTCACCATCATTAAATGCCATTTCTAACACTTTGTCTACAGCATTCTGGCATAAGTAGTTCTGCTCCGATTTACATTTCGGCAACACTGCAGAAAACCATGAAATGCAGCACGGAACAGGACTTTCTTTAAATCAAAGAACAGAAATGCAGTTTCATCAAGGAATTCTCAAGGCCAACATTTTACCCCACCATTTTGAAGTCATATCTGTAAGAGCAAACAAAGCCCAGGAACATCTGAAGTGAACCAGTCTGCAAACGAGGTATGAGAAAGATAGTCACCCACCACAGAATGTGTTCCCCTCCGTCTGTAAGTTCCCTGATGCTTCTTTTTTGAGTCTAATGGACATGCAAATTAATGCACCTGCCAGACACTAGCCTAAGTAAATTCATCTGCTTTATCACTTGGTTCCCAACCCCTCACCAAGCAAGACTTGCCGATAGTACCACTAAACTACTACTGTAGAAAGCACTAACTGGAGCACTGCAAGATAGACACGTTTTTCCCAAATGAAGACAGAATTTTACCTACTGTGAGAAACATCTGTGGTAGTTGTTCACAGGTTTAGAACAGTAGTCTAAGCCTGGTATCAAATCAAACCTGTAAAACAAAATTTTTCATGTACCTTTCCTCCAGAAGAGTTCAACAGATTCCGCAAGAAACCTGTGTTATTGTTGCTCACAGGTGTTAATATTGCACTGTTGAATGTCTGCAGGGCTGCAGCAGGCTTCGCTAAACTAGGGAGTGTCTGAAGAGGTTTATTTTCATTCTTTGAAATAGGTATGAGGAGTTTCTCTGAAATGAAGAAAAGAACACATCTGAAAATGAAGCAAGGATTAATCCTCTGAACCACGAGAAGTATATGCTTTGGATTTATATGCTTTGGATACTCCTATATGCATACATGTATGTATGTACATCTCTCTCTCTGCTCTCAATACATGCAGATGAAATACTCCTTTCACTTAACTTTCTTCAATACTCCAAAATTTTTAAAATCACACATTCTAAACTAAATACATTCTCAAACTGAATTTTCAAGAATACTTGCATCAATGGGACATTAATCCAGTTTTCAAAAAAGAATATGCTAACCCTGCCAGGTTTTACTCCAAGTCATTGCCATGGACCAGTTTTGCAGTACAGGCACTGAACGCCCATCCCAGCAGGCAGATTATATCATTGTCAATGCAAGATATTGCTGGGTTTGATCTATATTCTTCTGACAAACAGCTACAAAGGGTTTACTCTTCACTGGTTCTGCACATACCTTTGTTTTCTTTATTCACGTTTCCACTTGTTAGGTTTGATAGCCAACTTAATGAAGGAGAAGTATTTACTGAAGCAGTTTGTTTACTTCCAGCTGCTGATTTTAGAGGAGGATCGTGTGTAGTGACTTGTGGGCTCAGGACAAAACTATTATGTTGAAGGCTGGACCTCTCTCCAGGTACCAAGTTCTGAAAAAACAAAGTGAGAACTCGATTAGACACAAACGCTCTACTCAAGAAGGGGAAGCAAGCCCTTCCAAGTCCAATTTCATTCTTTTACCCAAAAATGGTTTGGCCCTTCAAAAAAAATCTGACCTCCACAAGAGGTCAGCATTGCATCTCAGTATGGGCCAGAGATGAAGATCCAGCAGGAATTTAAGAGCAGACAATAGAGTCCACCACCCCTCAAGACAAGCACAGAAAGCCGAGTTTCCCAGATGCATTTTCTGGGACTGCTTTGGGAACCAAATGCAATTTTAATAACTGCTCTCTCATAATTCTAGTGATGTTTCAGACCAGGGCTAAGCTGGAGGTCTAGTTCAGCAGATTAAAACAAATACATAGGGCTCCTAAATTTTTGTCTTAAGAAGGTGGCAAAAGTCCACCCACGTGCCAGGTCTAAAATATAGCTGCATATGAATGCAGCATCGGCCTGGCCAGCACAACCCAAGCACAGTATATCTCCTATGCAGTTGATTTATCTACGTGTTTGGAGATTCTAGATAACAGGCTAACTAGAACTACTGCTTTAGCCTAGGATTCCTGCATGACTGGCTAAATTTTTCCTCTATGCTCAAAGACTTTCCAACAGAAAAATTATTCTGCACCTCCATCTACCTATTGTTAGGTTCTTTATTTCATCTCTTAATGACGACTGATGCTTGGTAAGGATTCCAAACACAATATAAAATGCCTCAAACTTTAATAAGCTTATCCTCACACAACCAGTGCAGTGACATAAAATGAAGTAATATTTACCTAATTTTACAGAAAGAGACGTATAGATAAATTTCAATGCAGCTGTTTGTCCAGGGTCACAGAGGAAATCTTGAGAAACAGAAGACTGAAGCTAGGTCAGTCGTAGGCTAACTTTTGAATCACGTAACCATCTTCCTCGCTTTTAACACTTGACAATATTTTTTGTCTATGCTATTGATTATCAATACCAAAATCAAGTTCAGCCTGCTTCTTACACTTAAGATAACACATTTATTCTCAAAATAAGTTTACAAATAAGCATAAAACAAAATTAAAATTACTTAATTCAACTGGTTTCTTGCAAGATGCTGCAAAACGAAGCCATTAATTTGTGCTCTATTTTCAAAAGCAAAAAAATACTACATCGATTTACAAATAAACATATGGTGGGGCTTTGTTTGTTTGTTTGTAATATAATGAGCAGCAAACTTCCTACCAGGATTCGCAGAGAAATCAGTGCTTCTCCATACTGCTCTAGCCCTCACAATTTTATTCATGTTTAGTTCTTTATGAATTCCAGTGCTCTTCCACCCTACTTACTCTTTTAGATGATGCATGTATTACATCTCTAGGACCCAAGGGATAGCCTACACTTCACAACCATTCCCACTAGTCTGTTCTTAAGACTGTTAAGGGTTCTCTCAATCTAATCCTATTTTTGCCCTAAAATATCCTCACTGAGCATTTTTCAAGGATAGGTCACTTACTGAGGCATCAGCATGTCAAAGGGACACAATGATATTTTTCCCAAAACTTAAAAAAGAACTGATTCAGGAAGATGAATACTGAATACAAATTTTGAACAAAAACCTACATGGTGGGGTTATCAGTAGTGGGCATACCTACAAAGTCAATTACCATTGCCTTCAAATATGGGTAGTAGACTGAGGCAAACCTATACTACACAGACATAGTGTGAGACAGAAGCAATACCTGTTTTGAATCCTCCTTTAGAGTTGGCTTTGATAATGCCTTGAACTGCTTATTTGCACAAGGACAATTTGCCTTTATTCCCCATTTTGTTCGTACAGAGTGAACAATATCACCAACATCATAGAGAGCTGAAGGAAAAGAGTCATTAGTGAGCTCACATAATTAGAACATCCAACATTCAATAACACTTCTTAAGAAATTGTGTATGCTATGCAGATAAACAATAGTAGACAAACACAGTTCATCATTAAACAAGAAGTTTTGCTACTTCTTTGTAAAGGTCAAAGATAATAAAGTAGTACTACGTAGACAGGCTATTCCAGTCTTTGGACAATAAATACTAAGCTTTTACTAACTTTATTACTTAAAAAAACCCCTTCACTCAGTACAATATCAACAACATACAAAAGACAGCAAAAGCCTACAGCATTTTTTTATCCCAATCAAATATTTAAAATACCTTTTCCAGGAATTATTTGTGTAGGCATTAGATTCTCTGGTTCATGTACCTGCCCCTTCACACATTTAAACCAGGAGAAAGTATCCGAGTCATCATCTGTAAAACAAAAACATTAAATTGTTTTATTAGTGCATCTTACATCCTCCTCTGGAAAGCTACATATTTTACTATTATTGATATACCAAACCACAAGTCTACAACATGTTCTTTTTGTTGGGAAAGCTTATTGTCTTGCTGCTTAAGGTTGTTATTGACTTCCAAGTTCAAAATACAGGTTTTCTTTCCCCTCACCTTGCTTGTTTAAAGTAGCAATATACATTCTCACCTTCATGTAAGCTTTTTTTCTTCATCCTGTAACAATCCACACACACGCCAAAGCCGCACTTAGAGCAGACCCAATGAAGGTTGAAGATTGTGGTGTCACAGACATCACACATTTCTCGAACTCCACGAACTGCACGCTTCCAGGCTACCTGTCCTGTGGTAATTGACAGATTAGTCAAAGCATTAGTTTAAACAAAAAAAAAAAAATTTGCATGTTAAATATAGCTACATTAAACCACTTCAGTGATATAAGACTCAGACTTGTTTTTGTATTGGAACTCCAAAACAAAACCTTTGCTGTTACAGATTCAAAAAAGTAGGTCCAGAATAGAGTCTAAGCAATCAAGACCATTTTGCTTTCTCCTGTGCAGCACCAACTATGTCTCTTACTCCTGATGTGTATTTGCCCACGTTAACATGCACACTGCTGACATTCTCCTAAGTGGAAATTCCACAGCTACCCTAGAAAAAAAATTAAGTTACTACTAGCAAGCTAAGCTTAACGTCTAGCTTGTCACAACCAGCTTGTCCTTGTTCTCTATTCAACAGCATAGTGGGCAAGTAGTTCTCTTCCTTTTAGTATGTTTTCTGTATGTTTTCTATATATATGTTTCTATATGTTTT